AAATAAGTGTCTCCTAAGAGTTTGGGGGAAACTTGAGAAATGCTTGCTACATTTTTTAAGAGATGGAAAGACAAAGAAAAAAGTAGAGCTTCCTGTCCCGAAGACCCACCTGGCATTTTAAAGTTAATAGTTAAAGAGGGGAAGTTTAACGTGCCTCCCTCTGTACTAAACAAGTCTGCCTTCTCCCATTGTTAATTGTGCTGAATTAAAAATGTGTAATGAAAATGTAGTGAAATAAAGGAAACGATAAATCAGCAATTTTAGTGCTGCTTTGAAATGGGTGAAATTCTTGACCCTTCTGAAAAGAGGAAATAAAAATAACCCTTGCTAAGAGCTGTGCATAAATATTTGTATAGAGAAAGCGTGGCATCTCAGATATCCTTGTGCACTGCAGTGTTTTTCACATGTGGCCTGGAAAAGATCGTGTTCTAGAAGACAGAGAAAGCGTGGTGCCGTTTTCCACAGCTAGCCAGGAGTGAGAGCTGTGATCGGTGAGGATGCACTGGGAATCGGCGGATTGTTATTGAACATGCTGTGTGGTCCGTGCGTGGAAAAACGCGCGTGTTTCTAAGAGGAGTGCCCTGAAGCTAACTGCCTTGTGGTTTTCTCTGAGGGGCTGTGGGCCTTCCTCTTCTCCTCTACCAGCCAAAGGCATGACTGTCACTCAAGGTGGAGTTAGGTACCCTAGGTTCTGAGATGACTATAAATCGGCCACAAATTTCCTATTCATCCTCCTCGGTGGAGGTGACTGGTTTCCAGGGTACTGAGGACTGTGTGGTCCTTCCCCAGTTCTCTTCACCTGGTAGCCACCTTCACCTGCTGGTCCCCAGACAGGAGGAGGGCCTTCCAGGAGGGAGATCCAACACTCAGATGGTGCACTTGGCCAACTGCTTAGCATTTTCTCTCCTCGGTGTGTAACTAACTGTCTGTAACCTTGAAGTACTGTAAAATGCCTGCATAGTCGCTGTGTAGTTGGTGCCAGATCTTATTGCTGAGCCACCAGCAGGCAACAATACAAGTTACTTTGACACAATTGAGAGTGTTTAGAATGCTTGTTTTTGAATCCTCTCCTCAAAAAGAGAGAGAGAGAGAGAGAGAGAGAGAGAGAGAGAGGAATAAGAACATACATTGCTAATAAATTTTCAAAGTTTTTTTATTGTCTTTTTGAAGCATGTGCCTCCCTGACTCTGGTTACCCGTAAAGTAAGCAATACTAACTAGTGGACTAATAACTTTTGAGCATGGTGGCCAGTTCAGAATGTTACTTAAAGAGAAGCATGGATATAGTCTTGGCTATACAGGAACGCAGACGTAAAGGACACTGGCAGCAATTTGATAGAATTATAAACTGCAGTCAGGATGACTAGCCGGGTTTACTCTTATAAAAAACAATAATATCAGCTTCACACATAGACACTGTAATGTATGCAGTGTCAAAAGCAGGTTAGAGTTTAATTTCTCTCACTCTCTTTAGAACACGTTGGAGGTCAGTACTTGGACTCTTTTGAGTCAGTAGACTATGCCACTGCAGAGAGTCCTGTCCTTACTGTGTTCAGATATTGCCTGACTGTTCAGCTAAAGAGTGTTTTGTTGCTTAAAAACATTTCAAATATATGCAAGCAATTTCAGTTCCATAGAGGAAACATGAGTCTTAATAAGTTTCTGCTTGTCTCTAACTTTTATAAAAGAGGTCTATTTTCATTTGAATTTGGAAATCATAGCCGTAGCTTGAGCATGTGAGACCTACCGTGTTAAGTGGTAATTCTAATTTATTTGCCCCAATAAGAAATGCAAATTGTTTTTGAAGAATTTTCCCCTTGATAACTGTAGTTTTTAAGATCACTCTTTTACCAAAAGTGAAATTCGTGATGAAGCTTGGCTCATAAGCAAATTGTTGCCAGGCTTGGTTTCCTTGGACTCAGTAACATAAAGAACTGTTAAGGATCCAAGGGGTCAGAATGCCTTTTCCTTACAATTTCCTCCTTCCATTTGGTGGAGGATCGTTTTACTTTGAACAAAATATCTAATGTTGAGATCATTGTCACTTAAGACTGAATTAAACAAAATGACATTATTTGGCAGAACGTGCTTATATATTCCACGCACACATCGGAGAGCTGGGAAATGCTTGTAATTTACCAGCCCTTGCTGTGGAGGAAAAATAAAATAAAATTACCTGAGGGGGCCCTTCTCAGCTTCAGTGCATCTGGAAGTGAACCCTAAAAACACCTAACACAGAAAAAACTAATGGGAATGTAAAAGTGCACATCTTTAAGGTGAATAGAGGTTTGTTTGGGTCAAGACCCCCCTGAAAAGCCTGGGTTCTCTGCGTCACGCTATGCTCTCTTATAAGGAAAATCTGGGAAAGTTCATTTGTGAAGGTATAACTCACAGTTATGTAAATTAATTCTCTCCACTTTGGATGCACTTTAAGTGATCTGAGTCAGCCCACTTTGCAGCATTCTCTGAATGCATTGTCCCTAGTGCATACTAAATATAGAGAAAAGGTATTCTTTTCATAAGATTTTGTTTGATTTCATAAAATTTAAAGTGTGCATGCCTTCAGTTTTTAAGCATTGTACATACTGTTCATTTTTATCTTCTTAAAGGAGGTGCCTATAGACAATATTTCAAGGCAGTAGCAATTTTTAATGTTTTGGCATTTCCTTTTTTCGAAAGTACAGGAATTATACTTTTTCTATCATAGCTTTGCACATTGGAAAGCAACTTTTTAAAGTCAGTCCCCTGCTTAGCTATTTCTGTGCATCTGTCGTACGGCTTAATGCAAATGAGCTTTCTAATGTCCGCTGAGGTACATATAAATACATATGTGTGTATTTATGTATCTGTGATGTATATGTTTTTAAGAACATTGTGCAGTTAAAGAAAAATCATAAATACATTTTTTGGCATTTTGTTAAAACTTTTTAAATTAAGTTACTGGAATTTTGAGGAACTCATCGTTTTTTGTTTTGTTTTGCTTATTCAATGATTAAAAAATTCTAGCCTCCCCCAGCCCTGATCCATGACCTTAACCAGGTTTACAATTAGTTTCACATACACTGAGCAAAGTTGAGCATGGAGTATTTGTTTCCTTAATGTGCCTATCTGCTATATAAATCGGCTGTGTCTTTGCTCCCAGCTACCCTCAACCTCATTACAGATACCTATTACGTTCCTTCCCCCATGCGGTAATGAGACTGCTTGCTGCAGCCTGCTCTTCGCTCTGAGTTTAGTTTAAAAGTCTATGGGGTTTATGGGCTGCAGCTCTGACTTCTTTCCCCTTCAAATGGCTTAGCCAGTTAAGAAAATGCTAATTGAATGCTGCTAATCATTTTTAAAGGCATGTAGAAATTACCTGGAAATAATGGCCTCGTGGAACGCAGCAGAGCAGCCTCAAAAATATTTTTATTTCATTTTCCAAGAGAGGAGCAGTGGGGTTTCCTGGACAAAATTTAAAAAAAAAACAACTCAGATTTCTCTGCTCAACGTTAACTGAATTAATCCCCCCCCTCCAAAAAAAAAAAAAACCTTAAAAATGTTAGAGACTTTTTAGCAAGTCCATGTGTAATGTCACCAGTGCTTTTTCGGATGGGACTGAAGGATGTTTTGTTCTCAGGCTCAACTTTGCACATCTAACAAAGAGCTGATTTGCCTGTGACATTTGCTCTGTCCAACAGATCTGTTGCTGTCGCTCCATCTGCAAGCTGGAAAAAAATAAAAACCCAGGAAAAAACAAAAAACAAAATAAAAAACGTTCTAGTCAGTGGCACCCAAGCTGGTACACCAAACCAGGTCGCAGTGGGCATCTCTCCCCACCACAGTGACCCAAAAAAGCCAAAGCCAAAAGTGTCACTGGGTGTCGATTTCTCGTTCCCATACAGCTATTTATTTGATCAGGTGTGAATTAGAGTTGTTCATTAAACACGGTTGTTATTCGGCACAAGAGGGTTAGGAGACAGAGGAAGTAGCTGCCTACAACAGTAATTAAACATGTGTAACCAATTAGAGGCTTTTCCACGATGGTGCAAGCATATAATTTGCTAAGTCTTTCTATGAGCATGGATGAAAATAGGTACAAAAAGTGTGTCTGACTGCAACATTCTCATGCTAAACATGTCAACATAAATGAACTTTAAATATATAATTCCTGGTTTGTTAACAAACCACTGAACTCTATTGGCTAATCACAATAACATGTAATTTCAAGTTCATTTCGCCAAAGAATATTGCATCTGACAGAGCCGATTAATTGTACTAAACATGATTCATTTTTAGGCCTAGTGTATATTGATAGTCATCTGGCAAGTCCTAAAGTGTAGAGGGCCTCTGCCTTCCAAAAGAGCCAAGAGGTAGGAGAGAGAAGGATACCACCATTAGGATCCGAAGAAGCGCTTGTAGTTTCTTTGTTGTGTTCACAAATCATAGTATTTAGCCTAAATTTCCTACGTGAAATAAATGCCTATTGATTCCAAAGGTTCTGGGGGATCATGTTGATAGGCACCGCCTCAGCTGGGCTTAGCGATGATGAATCCACGAGCGAGCGCAGACCACGCCGCACTGGCTTCCTGTCAGGTGCAGGTGTGTGGGAAAGGTTACGGCTTAGCTCGGCGATGTTAAGTGAACTGGCAGAGGCGTCTCTAATTTTGTTGGAAATGAGGAAGCCCATGGTAAAGGGGAATCCTAATGAGCCCGTCGAAGGCTGGCTTTGTACCCAACAGACAGGGTGGCTGCGGATTGTATGAAGATATTGGAAATCGATGGCTTCTATGGAATTTCATTAAGAAGCAGTATCCACAATTGATAGAGCCTCATAATTTGATGGATTGTGCTAAGAAAATGATTAGCTAGCTAGAAAGAGTCATAGAACACACACGCTGGGACGTCAGAAATGTTGAAGTGGGGTAATTTGTACAAAATAAAAAATATTGATTTTACTGATGTGCAAAATTTTGAAATGGAGGGCGGCTGTCTGGCTGATGTAATCTCTTGGTTTCCTAGGCGTCCCCGGGGACGGTGCTGAGGACGGGGAGAGCGGCAGTGAGAGCAGGAGTGGCAGCGAGGAAACCAGCGTGTGTGAGAAGTGTTGTGCAGAGTTCTTCAAGTGGGCAGACTTCCTGCAGCACAAGAAGACTTGTACTAAGAACCCACTGGTGCTGATCGTGCATGACGATGAGCCAGCGCCGCCCTCCGAGGACTTTCCAGAACCTTCTCCTGCCAGCTCGCCCAGCGACCGCACTGAGAGTGAGGTGGCTGAGGAGGTGGCACCCACGGAGGGCAGCGAGGTGAAGGCTCCAGCAAAGGAGGCTGAGCCCATGGATGTGGAGGCATCAACGGACAAGGGCCCTCCAGGCCCAGGTGTGCCCCCACCGCCACCTGCACTGCCACCACAACCGGAACCCGTGGCCTTCAGCATGCCTAGCACCAATGTGACTCTGGAGACGCTGCTCAGCACCAAGGTGGCGGTGGCACAATTCTCCCAGGGTGCACGAGCGGGCGGCACGGCAGGCGCCGGTGGAACCGTGGGCGCTGTGGCCATCCCCATGATCCTAGAGCAGCTGGTGGCACTGCAGCAGCAGCAGATCCACCAGCTCCAGCTCATTGAGCAGATCCGCAGCCAGGTGGCCCTGATGAGCCGCCAGCCCGGGCCTCCACTGAAGCCCTCGGCCAGTGCCCCTGGCACCGCCTCGGTACAGCTGCAGGGCCTGGCTCCACACACAGCTCTCCAGCTTTCCACTGGACCAGCCACTGCCTCTGCTGGCTCGGGCTCCACCCTCCCAGCGCCCTTCGATGGCTCCCAGCACCTGTCTCAGCCTGCCTCTGGCACAAGCACTCCCTGCAGCACCGGTGCTGCCCCCACCGAATCTGGGGCACACCCCGCCTGCAGCACTGGTCCTGCTCCGGGAGTTGTGGCCGCAGCATCCAGTACAGTGGGCAACACAGTGCAGCCCCAGAATGCATCTACGCCCCCGGCCCTGGGTCCCGGGCCTCTCCTCAGCTCAGCCTCCAATCTGCCAAACCCTCTGCTACCTCAGACTTCATCCAGCAGTGTCATCTTCCCCAACCCCCTGGTGAGCATCGCTGCCACAGCCAATGCCCTGGACCCGCTGTCGGCTCTCATGAAACACCGCAAGGGCAAACCCCCTAATGTGTCAGTGTTCGAGCCCAAGGCCAGTGCCGAGGACCCTTTCTTTAAGCACAAGTGTAGGTTCTGTGCCAAGGTCTTCGGCAGTGACAGCGCCCTGCAGATTCACTTGCGTTCCCACACTGGGGAGCGGCCCTTCAAATGCAACATCTGCGGGAACCGCTTCTCCACCAAGGGCAACCTTAAAGTCCACTTCCAGCGGCACAAGGAGAAGTACCCCCACATCCAGATGAACCCCTATCCTGTCCCAGAATACCTCGACAACGTGCCCACCTGCTCCGGCATTCCCTATGGCATGTCCCTACCCCCAGAGAAGCCAGTGACCACCTGGCTGGACAGCAAGCCAGTGCTGCCCACTGTGCCCACATCAGTAGGGCTGCAGCTACCCCCAACTGTCCCTGGCACCCACAGCTACACCGACTCCCCCAGCATCACCCCCATCAGCCGTTCCCCACAGAGGCCCTCTCCAGCATCCAGCGAATGTACCTCTCTGTCTCCAGGCCTCAACAATACTGAGTCTGGTATCCCAGTGAGGCCGGAGTCACCCCAGCCACTCCTCAGTGGGCCTTCAGCTACTAAAACGGAGCCAGTCAGCCTGCCTTGCACTAGTACAAGGACGGGGGATGCCCCTGTGGTGGGCGGGCAGGTCAGTGGATTGCCCACTTCAACTGCCACCACTGTCACAGACAGCACCTGTGCAAGCCTCGGGAGCCCCGGTCTTCCGGCTGTTTCTGACCAGTTCAAGGCCCAGTTTCCTTTCGGCGGGCTGCTTGACTCTATGCAAACGTCAGAGACCTCGAAACTGCAGCAGCTGGTGGAGAACATCGATAAGAAGATGACTGACCCAAACCAGTGCGTCATCTGCCACCGCGTGCTGAGCTGCCAGAGCGCCCTGAAGATGCACTACAGGACACACACCGGGGAGCGGCCCTTCAAGTGCAAGATCTGTGGGCGCGCCTTCACCACCAAGGGCAACCTGAAGACGCACTTTGGGGTGCACCGTGCAAAGCCCCCACTCCGAGTGCAGCACTCGTGCCCCATCTGCCAGAAGAAGTTCACCAATGCCGTGGTGCTGCAGCAGCACATCCGCATGCACATGGGAGGGCAGATCCCAAACACGCCGCTGCCCGAGGGCCTGCAGGAGGCCATGGATGCCGAACTGCCCTTTGACGAAAAGAATGCAGAGACCCTCAGCAGCTTCGACGATGACCTTGATGAGAACTCCATGGAGGAGGACTCAGAGCTGAAGGACACGGCCAGCGAGTCATCTAAACCACTTCTCTCCTATTCGGGGTCCTGTCCGCCCTCACCCCCATCTGTCATCTCCAGCATTGCTGCCCTCGAGAACCAGATGAAAATGATCGACTCGGTCATGAACTGTCAGCAGCTGGCCAGCTTGAAATCAGTGGAAAACGGGTCTGGGGAAAGTGACCGCTTGAGCAATGATTCCTCATCCGCGGTAGGTGACCTGGAGAGCCGCAGTGCAGGCAGCCCCGCTCTGTCTGAGTCCTCATCCTCCCAAGCTCTGTCGCCAGCTCACAGTAATGGTGAGAGCTTCCCTTCCAAGTCACCAGGTCTTGGCCACCAGGAGGATCCCCAGGAGATCCCACTGAAGACTGAAAGGCTGGAGAGCCCACCCCCCGGCCCAGGAAATGGAGGTGCCCTGGACCTGACAGCGGGCCACCCTGGGCGGCCACTCATCAAGGAGGAGGCCCCTTTCAGCCTGCTGTTCCTGAGCAGAGAGCGGGGTAAGTGTGTGAGCACTGTGTGTGGTGTCTGTGGCAAGCCCTTTGCTTGCAAAAGCGCGTTGGAAATCCACCACCGCAGCCATACCAAGGAGCGGCCATTTGTCTGCACGGTCTGCAGGCGAGGCTGCTCCACTATGGGTAACTTAAAGCAGCACTTACTGACACACAAGTTGAAAGAGCTGCCTTCTCAGTTTGACTCCGACTTTACTCTAGGTCCCAGCCACAGCACACCTAGCCTGGCCTCCAGCCCCGCGCCCACCATGATCAAAATGGAAGTGAACGGTCACAGCAAGGCCATCGCACTGGGTGAGGGCCCAGCCCTACCAGCTGGAGTCCAGGTCCCCACTGGGCCCCAGACAGTGATGAGCCCTAGCCTGGCACCCATGCTGGCACCCCCACCACGACGGACACCCAAGCAACACAACTGTCAGTCATGTGGGAAGACCTTCTCCTCCGCCAGTGCCCTGCAGATCCATGAACGCACCCACACTGGGGAGAAGCCCTTCGGTTGCACCATCTGCGGCAGGGCCTTCACCACCAAGGGCAATCTCAAGGTAAGAGGGCCACAGGCCTGAGGCTATGGCCAAGCCACATGGCCCCTGTGGATGGCTCTGCACCCCCTGTCTAAGCAGAGATTCTGTCTTCACACTCTTATGTATGTATACACATGTGTGGAATGGGTTGGTTGTACATGTATAGTATGAGTGTATATAGTATGTGCTTGTGTATACATGTGTGTATATGAGTAATGAATATATGCACATGCATGTACACACACTCAAAAAAAGTGCATCTCATTTAAATAGCAGTAAGTGAGTCCATGAGGCTCATGTCTACCTGCTCTCCCGATGGTATCAGCCTGCTCCAGAGCCTCAGGTCATAGCAGACACTTGGTGAGCAGGCCCAGGATTCAAAGCTCTTGAATCTTGGTCCTTAAACAAAATGAATTTGGTCCTTAAACTTTAGCACAGAGCAAAATGAGACTTGTTCTGTGAATGTTCTGTTGTCTGTGTGGCTACAGACAGGGCCCTGGGAGGGGAGGGACACCAGGTGAGAGGTTTCCCACCGTGTGAAGCCTGCTGAAGACCAGGTACAGATGGGTGTTCTCACTGACTGCTGGCAGGTGCCGCAGGCTCCCCGTTCCAGGCTTCAGCCAAGCAGACACCACCTTTGCGGGGCTAAAATAGTTCCTCTCTAAAGAAAGCCAGGGGCCAATCCCTGTGGTTTCTGTGCTGGACCAGTGCTGATGGAACAGGAGCATCCTGAGGACCCTGCGCTCTGGCTGGCCCACGAGGTCTTAGTGCTCTCTTTTCTTGTTTGAAAGAAAGCAAGAGAAGAGGACAGTCAAAGAGTTCAAGTTTAAGACCTTTTACAAGCTTGAACATGGACTTGGGGTGGGGACTGAGTCTAGTCTGCTTGGTGAGTTCCAGGCCTGTAGCAGACCCTACCTCCCCCTACCCAAAAAAGGTGTAGTATGATTGAAGAATAACCAGAAGTTGTCCACTGACCTCCAAATGTAGACACTGAGGTGGGGATGGATGAAGCAGTGGAAAGGTCCTTTATCCTCGAAGCTCTAGAACCTTCTCGAGCAGTCTTGAGGGAGGGGATGTTGGTGTCTAACAAGTTTGTCCATTTACATGCTGGTTGTGCTTTTTAGAGTCACAGAATGTGATACTGCGTATATTGTACAAGGTGCCCAGGAGAGCCCACCTAACTGCATTCTGTTGCCCCCATGCTAATGCTTAGAATGCAAATAAGTCACACGAAACATTGAAACCAAGACACTGCTGCCTGTCAGTTCTAGACTCGCTTACTTGTGGCTTGTTTCTCCGTGTCTCCCACAGGTACACATGGGCACCCACATGTGGAACAATGCACCTGCAAGGCGTGGCCGCCGCCTGTCTGTGGAAAACCCCATGGCCCTGCTCGGTGGTGACGCTCTGAAGTTCTCTGAGATGTTCCAGAAGGACCTGGCGGCTCGGGCCATGAACGTTGACCCCAGCTTTTGGAACCAGTATGCTGCTGCCATCACCAATGGACTTGCCATGAAGAACAATGAGATTTCTGTCATCCAGAATGGAGGCATTCCTCAGCTCCCAGTAAGTCTAGGCGGAGGTGCCATCCCGCCTTTGGGTGCCATGGCTGGTGGGGTGGACAAGACGCGCACTAGCAGTAGCCCGCCCATTGTCAGCTTGGACAAAACAAGCTCAGAGACGGGAGCCAGCCGGCCATTCACAAGGTTCATTGAAGATAACAAGGAGATTGGAATAAACTAGTCAGATATACTTCAGACTTCTCCCTCCTGCTCCATCCCAAGTCCACAGTTTGAGCATCAGGCTTTGGACCTCACATGCCTGGGCTCTCACTAATGTTTTATCCATGACAGGAAATACCTGTACCGTGTGGCTGCTGTAAGGTGGCCTGGTGGGTGCCCCTCAGGGCATCTTCAACAGTTTGACTGTTCTTGAGAACTCTGCAACCTTTTAAGCAAATTTCAGACAAAGGCTTAAGTGCTTGGAAAACTGCCTTAGGAACAGAAAGAGCTCAGACCATATCTACTTCATTGCTCCTAGAACCTAGTGACCCCCTTGTGAGGGGGAGCAGGGTCCCCTGTGGTAATCCAGTGAGCTGTATTCCATGGTTTTGTTCAAATTCTGTAGGCACTTGAACTCTGTTTTAGGGACTCTTCATCTTGAGGAAGCAGCTCAGTGCTTCAAATGCTGTGTGTTATGACAGTCTCTTCGTCTATAGTATTTATGTTAAGATTATGCGGGTAACAGACAATAAAATAACCCAACCTTAAATGAGGATCTTGTATCACAGAATACATCTGGCTATGTGATTTTTTTTTAAAGCAAGAGTTGCTTTATTATAAATAAGTGGATTAATTAAATGCAGGCAAAATTGTGACGTTCTATTGGGAAAGATAGCATGCTTTTTGTGTGCAAGTACCTGTCAGTAACACCCCCCTCCCCTTTTTTAATTTAAATGTTTGTAGCTGCTATGTGAACGGTTGTTCTCTAGTGTGGTCTGTAGCCCAGCGGTTGATTGGGAACAAGTTACAGACAAGCATCACCGTAAAATGATTCGCAGCATTATAAACAGTTGTGAGTAAATATTTCGCATTATCGACGCTGTATAATAAAGAGGTAATGTTTGTATAATGTGGTTGCAAATCTTAATTTATACAATTGCACTTTTAGTATTTTGTATTAGGGAGGTTTGTCTATAATTTGAGAATTTACAAAAGATGTATTTTATAAATAGTACCTCGGTTTAAAGAAAATGGAGAAAAAAAATATGTCACAGTTTGTTTTGTCTTAAAGTTGAACGTGAGAAATCTATGCTGTATGAGCAGAGAAGCCACCAAGGCTTGTCGGCACCTCAATAAAATAAGGCCTGCCATTTCTTAAATTAACATGATTTATTTAACTTTTCTACAAAACCCATTGAAAAACTGTGAGCACCCTACCAAAACTTTGACAAATTAGTCTTAGTTCTGTGACATAGAAAAGGAAAAAAAAAAAACCAACAGAGTGAACGTTGTGTAGGTGTGACTTACTGTAGGCTCACCTCTTCCTCCCACACACATGAGATGTGACTGCCTCCTAGCTCTGGCCGTGGCGTGAAGGAGAACCGTGAGTGTCTGGCAGTAGTCAGTCATAGCTTTGACGTTTTCTGAGTCCATGATTTATTGTCTTTCCAAGAGCCAACACGGTGCAGTGTCCTGATGATCCCAAAGTCTTTGCTGATGACTTGTCTAAACCGCATGCAGTGAGCAGAGGCCAGAGGCAGGGAGGCGGGGCTGAACCCAAACTTGAACGTCAGTGTTGTGTGTACTACCTCATTTTTGTGCATCGCAAGCATGCTGGGATGTGACACGATGACCTTCCAACAGAATTGCTCAAGACGTAGGTAGCTGGGTACCTCGACAGGGAGTGGTCTGCGCCTGGAGGCTGAACCAGACAGTGTGAGACAGACGGATAGAGCAGTCACCTCAAACAACTGAATCAACAGGAAAAGGCGCTGCAGGGGAGTGACTACCGCTGGCCCGCTGGCCCGTGGCTGAGCAGAGAGCTTCTGGGGCTCGTTATCTGTTTCTGTCTTTGGAAATGAACACGGAACTCTCTGACTCTCTTTTCCACATAGTGAGGTGGAGTGTCTCCAGGCCATGCCATCTCTTGCTGGGGGATGGGACCGGGTGCTTCGGCTTTGGGAAAAGGAAGAAAAATGGCTAATGTTGCCGGGCTCTGGGCAGTTGAACGTCTTGTTATTTATCTGTGTCCTGGTGTGTTTGTCCCCACTCTCGGTTGGTATTTGGCACCATGTTAGTGTTCTTCTCTCAAAACGATGTGTATATAACTTAAGAGAAATGTAAAGCATTATAACTGAGATGGCTGAGGAAGGTGCCGTGACCACCGCCATTCTGTGTTCAGGGCCGCTGTCCCTCTGCGTGGTGAAGAGAGACACTATTTTTATAAACATAAAACCACGCGGGGCGAGGGCCACCCAGAACCAGCCAGGCTGTTTCATAGATCCAATATATTTTATGATTAAATCTTGTGGCTTGACACATCTACTGACTGAAATGGATGTCTTAGTCTAGGTTACTATTTTTGTCATATGAACCGAATAAAATGCAGGATGTCATATTATTTCTGAATTGTGTCCCCTGATTCTTCTTGGTGGAATTTGCAGTGCTGGTCACTGGTGGTGAACGGGCGTCTGTGGTGTTTTCCACGGGAAAAGTCAGCAAGGGTTGACAACATAAATCTCAGCAATGTCTAGGAGTAATTAGATTGATCTTGAAATTTTTTTTTCCCGTGCTGGGCATAGCGCCCAGGGCCCTGTACGTGCGTGGTGTCCAAGCACCCTGCCTCTCGTCCGTATATCCTTCCTCTCATTTCTTTTTTATTTTTCCCCAAATAAAAATAAACCTCACTGTGGATATTGTTTTCCTTCTGTTGTGGGAGACAATGCAGTAGAGATGCCTGCCGGAGAGTCCCAGCCATGCTGGGGACTGCCTTCCCATCATCTGCGCTGAGGGGACATAGCAGCTTCCAGGTCACTTGAACAAATAGATGCTCTCGAATTAGGAAGTACAAGAATAAGAGTGTGCTCCCGGGTACCACACGCGGCAGACAGCCTGTACGATCTCTGGATCTCTGACACCGGCCTCTATCTACTCCCAGTGGAGATGTCATTTCTTTCTAAATTAGCTTTGTCTCACAGATACTTTGCTAAGACTTCTGACTTGTTTAAAGCTCCTGGGTATTATGTTAGAGAACCCATTTCTTCATTTTTAAACATTAAATAACTATTGACACCCAGCAGCTGAAGTGGCTTAGGTCAGGAACATGATGGAAGAATAGTTCTTTTGAGAGTGAGAAAGGCACCAACTGCTAATCCAGCGGGCCAGGCCACCCTTCACTGTTCCCAAGCCTTAGGAATAAAACCGTGTTGATGTACTTGAACTAAGTCAGATAGTCAATTTAATCTTTTTTTTTAAAAAAGAGACGTAGCCAAGACCCCACAACTGCTTAGAATCACTAATACAAATTAAAATTCAAGAGAAAAAGGAGCTATCTCTTCTATTTCAAAATTATTTTTAAGTAGCAAGTCAGAGGTATCTGTCTGGGCTTAGCATATGTGGGTCCTACTTCTGACCCCAGCTGTGGTACTCAAAAGAATCCTAAGTGGCAACCATCCCTAAAAATTGTTTAACTGCATTTCTATTCTAACTCCATTGCAGGATCCGCTAACATTTAAAACTAATTAGGAGCAGCGCTACAGGGCCAGACAGGAATGCTCTTGTCTCCGGGGATGACAGTAAACTGCGGTATCCCTCCTGCTTTTCCTTCCTGTGTGGCAGACAATACCGGCTCCCATGTGCTATTTCGTAAGCACAGTCGATGGCAGGGGCATTTCTTTATTCCTGAGCAGTGTCTGCACTCCCAGCCCACCACCAGCATAAGACCACTCTTGTCCCCCGGCTGCAAGTCTCTAGCTGCAGACGCCTGAACCCTGTGTGTCTCCTCTTGGTGCATTCTTGAGGCAAAGCAGTGATGATGTGTGACCGTGGCTCATTGTCTAGCCTGTCCCCACCACATACTCCGACCAGCCTAGCTCACTTACTAAATACCAGAGCTAAGGTAGGGTGGACACTTGCTTGTTTTCTGTTGAGGTTTCTTTTGACTGAGCGCTTCACCAGAGAACAGGATGGGACACATTTTTGTCTCTTGGTTGATTTGGGAAAGGTTAAAATTTGATCTACAAAAGTTTTTCTGATTATAATAAGGAAAATTCTTTTCCTCTTTACTTAAAGAGAAAGGACTGGTATTAACTCTGGGCATTCTTTATAGAGGGAGAGCCTTAACAGCAAGTCCCAATACCGTCATCTTCAGTACTGTAGTATTGAGTCAGAGGCATGCATGTAACTGGATCTCCATGTGTTCTTGGGGTAGGCTCTGCAGAGGGTCAAGGCAGGAGCTTGCAAACATGCAAGAGATGGAGCCTCTCCCTCCCCTCACTTGGTCTCCTTGCCTGGAGGAGCTCAGAAGTTGATGATATACCCAAATTCCTCCACTTCTAAAACCCCATGTTTTTAAGCCACTCATAACATAACTTTCCAGTCATGAGTCAATGGACAGAGTAATTGACGGTATTTATATATAGAGAGAATGGGAACAATTGCCCCAGAATATCCCCATAACACAACATTTTTCTTATAGAAGACAGCTGGAAGAATTCTGCGGGGTAGTTTTGGGCCTGTGGAAATGTGTTTCTGTCTTTACTCGGGAAAAGAACAGCAGCAAGCCTTCAGCTCATTGGAGTTCTTTTCAATGCTGCAGTCCCTATGGTGAAATAAAAGCACTTTCTGTGAGCACTAACTTCCTTTTCTGTCAGAAAGGAGATTTTTTTAAAGTGACTTGGCTTTTTTTGTATACATCACATACAAGCAGACGCAGAAGTGAACACCCCCCTGAGGAAGATCCGAATGCTTGAGTTAACATGGTGGTTATTTCCTGATCATTAAAAATACTCGAGAAGCCACATCAGCTAAGCAGCCAACACCCTGATTTACATCCTTCCTTTCTTTGCCGGCATCCCAGTGTGTAATCTAGACAAGGCAGCCTTGAACGCACCCACTTGAGACCTGCGATACAGCATTCACTGGGCTCGGGGGAAACCTGGTGGGAGAATCAGGAGGGGCATTGGACAGAAGTGCATGGTGTCAGCATGTGTAAACAAAGCCAATGAATGCTGTGCCCTGTCCGTGGGCCGAGAAGGAGAACCTGACCATACTAGCATGCCTACTCGCTCACTGTACAAGACCTCACTTGGGAAAATAAGCCTTGGGGGATACATTTCCCAAGGTGATTTGTGAATAAGGGGGTTCTATAGTCACCCCCACATATTCTAAATGGTATGACATACTTTAAAAAATCCTAGAACGTCTGTAAACTAGAAATTTCACGGAGAAGCATGGATCATTCCTTTCACTTCTCATCCCTGTAGTATGCTAAGCGCTCACTGGTTTTACTTACTTGGGTTCAGTTGAAGGACACAGTTTGTTTTGTTTTGTTTTTTTAATACAAGTAGAGATGAATTTATTGATTTTTGAGGCAGGTTCTTTCTACACAGCCCTTACAGGTCCTGGAACTCGCTATGTAGACCAGGCTGGCCTCAAACTCACCGAGATTCACCTGCCAAGTGCTAAGATTAAAAGCTACTACACCTGTGAGGTGAAAAATTTTAAATGTCAAAGATCACCACTTTTTTTTTTAAATTTTTAGAACCAGCAGATCTTTTGATGATACTTGAGATACAAAAATGTTTGTTTTATTTTTTTCCTATTTATTATGCCAAGAACAATTTAGGAACAACTGCCCTCATCCTAATTTACCTACAGGAAATGTGTGGCACCCTCTGTGGCAATGCTACTGTTGAAGGAATAAAAAGGGGCCTGAAAAATAATTTCCCCTGCAAAGGATCAAAGTTTTAGGGATATTTTATAAGGAACTGCTTGAGGCCTTCCTCCCCACAATTGCAAGTAATTGCCAAATAAATTAGATTTCGACAAAAATCCATCCCAGCCCTTATTTTTCTGTGGGTTTTGCACTGTGACTTTTAGTAGTGTATGTAGAGTTCCTTGTGAGTGCTGCAGATATCCTGGGACCTTTGTCAGAATCACGCATGACATCTGGAATCTCCCATGAGACAAGTTTAACAGCCAGGGATTATTTTTTTTACCTGGAGCTTTAAAAAAATATACTCGAATTCCAAAGACATAGGCATCGGGAACCAGTTCTGTTATTTGTCGCCACTGTATAGATGCTTCTCCAGTAATGAGCTGAAATAGCTAAAGTTTCAGGCCAGAAGTACCTGGGTCTTTTACTGAGAAAAGACCCGTGTGAACGATTCTGGGCAGGATTCTGGCAATTGGTTCAAATGAGCCTCACTGATAAATATTTATGAACAGTTTTTCCAGCTGAACTCTGAGGCTGTTCTTGTGAATCTTGGACGTTTTGTAGGGTCTGAGACCAAGCCTGGCAGGTAAGTCCCCAGCTCTCCCATCTCCTTTTTCCCCTTGTCCACCCATTCTCTGTGTTGCCCTTACCCAGAATTTAGTTGATGGCTTGTTTACTTGTGTGGCTTTTCGTTTGTCCTTTTGTTGTTGTTTTTGCCCCCATCTGTCCTGGATTACTGAAGAATGTGGGATATCAATTTAATTATAATAACAATCTGGTTATTTCAGGATGGTCCTCTAAGTCAAGCTGTGACCCCTGGCATCTTCTCCTTCTGGACTGGATGAGATGATCAGTTTTAGAACTGCAGGCTCAGGGGTCTTAGGAGAAATTAAGATCACAGATGGACCCTGCTCTTACTAGAAACAACAGTCAAAACTTTACCACAAACCGTGAAGGAAAAGTCAGCTGCTGGTGCTGAGTGTCTGGAAACCCTTCCTGGATGGTGCTATGCTCAGCCTAGCCCTTCCTGGTACCTGTGGGCTGGGGTGACCTGTGCATGTGTTTTCTGCCCCCATGTGTGGCCCACCTGCCATGGGGATGCAAGCTCACTCCAGGATTGATCACATTATAGAGACAACCAAAGGAACTGGCTTTGACTCTCTCGCTTGTCACATGCAAGGGATGGAGCCAGCCTGCTATCCATCAAGGGCATCAAGGGAATAATTGTAGGCTATGTAAACATAAATGCATTAAAAAAAGCATTATAATCACAGACAACCCCCCCCAAAAAAAGGGTCACCATGCTATTGTCTGACAATGAAGGATAGAAAGAACCTACTGCAGGAAATTGTAGGAAGAATAAAATGGTACTTGGATTAAAATGACCTTTGGAAAATTTCACTTTTAAAAATTTTAAGCCTCAATTTTTAATCTTAACAACCTTTTGGCAAGAACAAACTCAAATTGTTTGCTTCCGAGTTTTTAGCATTTAGTAAAAATTTCTGCATTTATTACCAGGCAAT